TCCGGCGGCTGCCCGGTACTTCATAAAGCCGCTGTCGCCGCGGGCTGTCGCCGCGGTTTGCCTCTGCAGCAGCTCTGGGCTCTTCTCGGCTGCGGGAGCAGCTGCTCCAATGCTCCAGGGTGGCCATGGGCGCCCCGCACTGGTGGGACCAGTTGCAGGCTGGCAGCTCGGAGGTGGACTGGTGCGAGGACAACTACACCATCGTGCCTGCTATCGCCGAGTTCTACAACACGGTGCGGGGCGCGGGAGAGGGGAAGGCAGGCTGGCCGGCGGGAGGGGGCTGTCCCCGCGCCGCAGCGTCTGGAAGCTGGACGTGGGTTCCTGCGCGTATCTGGGGGCATTCTCTCCAGGGGCTGAGTCAGTCCACACCCCCTCCTCGGCACGCTCCTTCCAGTTCTCCATCTGTCCTCCTCTCCTGTCCCCATTCCCGACAGCTGGGCTCCTCTTCCTCCTCCTGTCATTTTTTGTGTTGTGTGTGTGATGGTCCTATTGTCTTGTTTGGCCCTCACGCGTCCAGAACCAGGGGCTATGTCAGCCCATTCTCCTTGTTTGGGTTAGTTGGGGGCGGTGAACCTGCCGGGACAAGTCTCTTCCTCCCCTGGGATCTCTGTGGCGTGACGCACTTGGGTCGCATTGTGCGTTTTTGCCCTGAATACCTGCTCTCGGAGTGCTGGGAAGAGCACGCCCCCGGCAGGTCCCCGCGGCTGGGGTCACTCCCACCAGGCAGACTTGCCCCAACCCCAAGAACATGCCTATAATGGTCGAGTTATTTTTGGTCAGAACCAAGTTAATTACTACTCATTCTTTTTTTCTTGCCTTTGGTGTCCTGTCTTGCGCAAGCCGCTAATTCAACTCCCCCAGGACTGTGCTTTCTCCAGTTCTGAAGTCTGAGGGGTGAAAGGAAAGTTTGGGAGTGATAATATGCGGGTTTTGGACTTGTCTAGGTCCCTAGATAAGGGTGAGCAGAAACTTCCCCATTACAGAATCCTGGGTGTTTTTAGTTCTTGTGGTAGGGAAGGGTTGCAGCTGGGAGAGGAAATGCCTCTTATTTGTGTATTTCCATGGCTCAGAATCCTGGTACAGAATGTGAGACTTTGCGTGGTCATTTCTGTGGCTTATCTTTTCACCGCCCAAACAAGGAAAACAGGAACTCCTGGTTTGGGTCACTGTGAATTTGAGGTTGTTGTTTAGGACTTTTCCTTCTGGATTTGCTAGAGAGAATGTCTTTGGCAGGAGTCAGGTGTTTACTGCCTGCAGGAATCTCAGATGATCTAGTCCCTGCCCTTTTATTCATCTGATGAGAAAACTGGGCTGTTGTGGAGGGAGCTGTCATGCTCACATTTCTGGCATGGGGGGGCCACAATCCAGAAGTCTGGCCTCTCCCTTCCCTCAGTGCTGAAATCCATGCTGGCTTCCATACAAACACTCCTGCTTTTTTTTTTTTATGATTAGGTTACTTCCTTAAGAAAACCTAAGGCTGGGCATTGTGGCTCATGCCTGTATTCCTAGCACTTTGGGAGGCCAAGGCACTTGGGTGGATCGCTTGAATCCAGGAGTTCGAGACCAACCTGGGCAACATGGCGAAACCTCATCTCTACAAAAAAATACAAAAATTAGCTGGACATGTGGCACGCACCTGTTGTCCCAATTACTTGGGAATCTGAGGTGGGAGGATCACCTGAGGCTGGGAGTTGAAGGCTGCAGTGAACCGAGATCGCGCCACTCCACTCTAGCCTGGGCAACAGGGTCTCAAAGAAAACCTGGCCCTCTGCTTTCTACAGCGACTATGAAAGACAGTGAGTGGAGGTGGCCATGACTTATCTATTGCATAACCTCTCAGAGCATGCTGTCAGGGGTAAATAGCTGCACACAGAGGATGGGCTGGAGTAGTTCTGGGTACTTTCAATAAGGAGAAACACCAGTGGTAACACAAGTTGTCCTCTTGTAAATAACGAATATAGTGAAAGAGTAAAGATTTCACCAGAGTTCAAGGAGAAAAGACAGCTTGATGACAGGTTCTCACACACTTAGCAAGGTTATTATATGTGGCGTCTGGGGTCTACAGAGAGGGAGGGTCAAGCTTGGTTATTTTGGCCAAAAAAGCTAGTGTATTGCTTCTCTGAGTCTGTCTTGAAAGTCGTAGGGCTGGATGAAAGGGAGAGTTTGTCTTCACTTTTAATCTAGTCCCATTGGAGCTATTACTCTACGTAGTGAGTGCTAAAGTCATTTTCAGAAATGAACGGTTGATCCTCAACTGCAGTGTCTGGCTGATTAGCCCAGCTGGCCCATCTGACAAACTTTATTCCTTGGAATACTCATAAACCACAAAAATCGCCTTGGCAAAGCAGAGAGCGTAAGGTGTCAGATAATAAGGTCATTGCCTAGCTTTGTTGAGTGTAGGTCCAAAGAATTTAGCAAAAAATGTTTCTTCCCCTCTGTTCCTATGTTAAAAAAATTTTTTTGAGACAGTCTTGCTCTGTTCCAGACTTGAGTGCCGTGGTGCAGTCTTGGCTCACTGCAACGCCTCCCAGGTTCAAGCAATTCTCCCAAAGTGCTGGAATTACAGGCGTGAGTCACCATGCCCGGCCTTCTTCCCCTGTGTTCTTACGTACTACTTATATTTTGATGCTTATCACAGGACATTCCCATGCTTATCTTACTCCTGTGTTGAGAAAGACAGTGAACTGTTATGTGGTGATAAATATCCTCTTAAATCCTCATAATAAGGCAACAGGTCTAATTACCCAGTTTATAGGAAACTAATAATCATTACCAGTTTTGAGAAAAAGTTGGAGGAATTGACAATGTTAAATCAGGAGAAGACTGGGAGAGGGATCTAGAACCTTCTTAATGGGTCTTAGGGGTAGCACATCGCTACTACACCTTCAGATACTACTATCTACCATTACTTATTTGCTATGTGTTGAAGCTCTGCTGGGTACTCTATACTCACCCTAGACAATGGGTGCTATTTATTATATCCATTTGTTAAAGGTGGAAATTGGGGCCTAGAGAGTTTATGTAACTTGCTGTCGTCAAAAGCTTAGCACAGCTGAACTCAGAACTTGATCCATTTGACTCTACCAAGAGAGTTATCTTGAAGCTATAAGTGCCACTGTAACTAACTTAGATTTATCTATTTGGCATAGAATAGATATTTATTATTTAGTCATTGCATAACTTAAAACTCCTGTCTTGGGACCATTTTAGCTCTAGGATAAAACTCATAGTTTTTGATAGGAAAAAAGTTTATTTAAAGTAGTTTTTAAAATTACTGTTTATTGTAAAAGTAATATGATCATGGTAAAAAATTTAGAGTATGTAAGTTGTAGTATGAAAAATACCCTTCTGTATCTTTCTAGATATTTTCTAGGCATGTAAAAAGCACATGTATCTGTGTGTGCATATAAAATACACATGTATAAGGCCGGGGGCAGTGACTCACGCCTGTAATCTCAGCACTTTGGGAGGCCAAGGCAGGCAGATCATTTGAGGTCAGGAGTTTGAGACCAACCTGGCCAATATGGTGCAACCTCATCTCTACTAAAAATACAAACAAATTAGCTGGTTGTGGTGGTACGTGACTGTAATCCCAGCTACTCAGAAGGCTGAGGCAGAAGAATTGCTTGAACCTGGGAGGTGGAGGCTGCTGTGAGCTGAGCTCGCACCACTGCACACTCCAGCCTGGGTGACAGAGCAAGACTCTGTCTCAAAACAAACAAACAAACAAAAAACCCAACAACAACAACAACAAAAGCATGTATAGCAAAATCACGAATACTTGAAGTTTTTTTCCAACCCATTTGAGAGCGTACTGTGTAAACTCTTATGTACCTTGTGTTTTTCACTTAATATGTCTTGGAGATATTTCCATATCAGCTCATATAGTGCTCTCTTCCTGTTTATAATGGTTATACAGTACTCCCTTTAATGGATTGATCATAATTTATTTATCTAATCAATCCTTATTGATGGACATTTCATATAGTTTCTGTTTTATTGTTTTCATTTTGGTTTTTGAACAGTTATTCAGTGAATATCCTCATTCATGCATCTGGATGTACTTTTGCAAGTACTAATCTTAGATGGGGATTGCTGTGTCAAGGAGGATATTCGCTTTAAATGCTGATAATTAGTGTGAAATGGCACACTAAAGAGAGTGCACTGATTTTCACTGACAATGTTTGGGCATACAAAACATTTTGCTTTGGCCTATGCAAATCTCTATTGCCTCAAATGTTATCATCCTTTGCTTCAGCCAAGCCTAATATCTCTTCCATGAACATGTAATTTCCTTTCACAGCCTTTTATTTGTGCACATTTTGTACTATTTCTTCTAAATACAAATTTTATTGAATTGAGTTCCTTTTTATGTTTTAAGATTTAAGACCCCCTGGCTGGGTACGGTGGCTCACGCCTGTAATCCCAGCACTTTGGGAGGCTGAGGTGGGAGGATCACTTGAGGTCAGGAGTTTGAGGCCAGCCTGGCCAACATGGCAAAACCCCATCTCTACCAAAAATACAAAAAACTAGTCAAGTGTGGTACGTACCTATAGTCCCAGCTACTCGGGAGGCTGAGGCAGGAGAATTGCTTGAACCTGGGAGGTGGAGGTTGCAGTGAGCCGAGATCAGGCCACTGCACTCCAGTCTGGGTGAGAGAGCAAGATTCCATCTTAAGAAAAAAAAAGAAAAGAAAAGATTTAAGGCCCCAGTCACATAGACCTAGCCACTTTGGAGAAAAGCTGGGTCTGCCTTTTACCCACTGAGCTTGGCCTTTGGGGACTCTGTTGCTCAGCAGGGACTTGAGGACAGAAGGAAGTCAACTGATGGCTGAAAAGAATCTTGAAGCAAAATACATGCATAAAATCAGCTCATGATCTGTCACTTTCTGCTCTGTCCCCAGTCATCAAGATAAATAGACCTCTCGTTTTATGCCAAGTCCTACATCCCACTCTCTTTAGGCTGAATCTATCGGTCGATCTATCAATCTGAGCATTTACTGGGCAACAACTGTGTGCTTATTACAGAGACCAGCTCTGTAAATAGTCATCTGGGTGGTGAGGGCTATGATAGAGGTGTGTACAAGCCGCTGAGGGTGTTAGTAGTAGTGTGCATGGGATTGATGTACTGTGAGGATAGAGTGGTGGTTTTTGCAAGAAGGCTACTGAATAGAGTGACCAAACCCATCCTGGGTTTTTGCCTGAGACTTTTCTGATTTTAAAACTGAACGTCC